TTTTTTTATATATAAATAGCTACATACAATGATTAGGGTGATTATGATGCCTATGGAGTAAGTTGCGGTATGGTGTAGTGGTAGTGCGCTCGTTTCATAAACGAGTGGTTCCGAGTTCGATCCCCACCACGTCCCTGGTAGTACCGCGCTCAACTCGTTACTCCGCGCAGCGGCCTTGTTCGTCAAGGTTCGTGTTTCGGAGTTATAGAGTTGAGAGAGGGTTATAGCCACAAATAAGTAGCCTCCTCGTCTGTAGTGGCCTTCTCGGCCTTGAGGAGGTGAATTAAAATAAAAAAAAAAAGTTGCATTAAATTGCTTAGGGTAAGTTGAATCATAAATTAACTGCGGGTTTTGTTGATTTTACACACTTTTCTAGTTTTTTCTTAAATAACTGATGCTTTTTTATATATAACTGCGTACCAATAAACGAAAACAACAATTTTATGATGAAGATAAGTTTTTATAAGTTGTATATTTATATAATATATATGAAGCATATGTATATATATTTATGTATTATATATTATGTATATACATGTATTTTCTATGTATATTATGTATATATATATATATATATATATATATATATATATATATATATATATATATATATATATATATTATATATATATGCATATATATATATATATATATATATATATATATATATATATATATATATATATATATATATATATATTTGTAAATTTATATATATAAACATAAATTTATTTATATATGTATATATATACATACACCGCTTGCCTTTTTCTAAACTTAATTGTTGTTTATTTTGCCCAGATTCGGGGTAAGTTGCAACATTTTTTTTTTTCATTTTTGTTTCACTATTGCGGAATAACCAAGTTTTATTTTATATTTGTCAATGTTGGATTATTATGTCACTAAGATCTATTTTATAACCCTGAAAAATTTTTTTTAATAATATTAAAATTTAAGGAGATAAGTGCAGTTTTTTAAATTTTGTTGCAACTAGCCCCGGTCTCCCCTACTTACAAATCAATTTTTGACCTACTACTCAACCAATATTCTATAGTGGAATTTCAATATATAATATATATAGACAATTTTGAGCGGTAAACTAAAGTTTTGCTCATCGGTTTCCCCCTAACATCAAATATAGTTATGATTGAGCATCAAATCTAAGATTATTTTCTTTTTTTTTAATTTATTTTTTTCCATTTATAATTATTAAAAACAAATTATCTTATTAGGTTTACAGAATTAGTAAATTATTTCCGCTGTTTATAGCATTCTAGAAATTATTATATGTATAACAATTTTTGTTAAATAAACTTAAATAAAACCAAATTGTTTTCACAATAGCGGAAATAACTTATTTAAAAAAAAAATGTCCATTGGTTTGCATTTTCGAAACTACAATAGGAAACCTACTTTGTACAATTATAAGTTAAATTTTAAAAATATTCTATCCACGTTTTTCAAAAAAAAAGGCGGTTAAACAGGCATGTTATAGATTTTTGGTGTTGAAGATAAGTAACTTTCAGAGATTGTGCAAAAAATTAAAAGGATTGGAGCCAAGAAACAAAATATACCTGAAAAATCTGAATCCACTGTCCCAAATGTAGAAAAAAAAAAAAACTATTTTTTTGTCTTGTGATTGATATTCTGAATTGAAACTTAAAATATTTTTTTACAAAATTAGAATTTTACAAATTTTTATCGCATTCATAGTGGTAGAGTTTTTTTAAAATGCTTTTGTTGCCCCCTCGCCCAACAAATATTTGGACCTAGGGGCATTAATTTTATGGCAAAATATTAACAATACGTTAATTACGGTAAAAAACGTTTATATTACTGGTAAAAAGTGTATATAACATTTCTCTGTTTGTATATTTCCTTGTAGTATATCGCAAAAAAATTAATATGAAATATATAGATAATAGGAACTTATTTTTTCTACTGCAGTAGTTAAAAAAAATGCATTTGTACTAAATGTAGAAAAGCATTAGAAAGGTTATAAAAAGGAGATAAAGCATTACAACTTGGATGTAAAGTTCTTTTGATAGTACAAGCAAAGGAATTCAAAAGGAGATTTATGCTTGCAGTCAAAGTTAAAACACTTGCCAATGAACAATCGAAAACCTCTGCAAAAGCGCTTTTTCTAGTTGAAAAAATCCCAAATTTTGAAATAAATAAATTTAAAAACACTCGTGGACAAAAGCCGAAGTTCTTAGCATATTTTGAATCAAATAATTGGTTTATTGTAAATACATTATTGAGATTTATTGAGAGTAAGAGTAATTTATTGAGAGTAAGAGAATATTGTACGAAACATTCTACGAAAACATTCTAAAGATATGCATTAACGTTAAATTATCAATATTTTAAAGATAAATGATTTATAATATTTTTATTCAAATTGGCTAATATTTTTTTTTAAATTGAAAGTGCAGCATCAACACACCCTTGTTCTTGGTGAAACATTAACAAAGAAAAAAATGCAAGGTTTTCAAATTCATTGTGAGCTCAGAGCTCTACGAAGTATCTCTTCATCAGCTAATGCTCGAAAAACCACCTGTAAAAAAACCCCAAGCTATCAACTGCCTTTTATGTTAATTGCCTTAAAATTTTACTAGTTAATTTTTCTGATGACGTAAAGGTTATAGAAGTTCTTGATCCAATGGAACTTTATCTACTTTATGGAAATACGAACAGAATTTATGATAACTTTGTAAATGTTTGAAATCTATGGATGTCACTTTTATTGGCAAATCAGTGGAACCAAATTTTAGGTTTTCAAAGACCTAAGCTTCATGGTGGTCAGTTAAAGGTGGAGGATGTTAAAAACTCTAAAAAAAAATCATGTGTTAGAATTGATAAAATCTTTCAAACTGGAAAAAGATGGACATATCATTTATATATTTAGTTCCTTCAAGTGGGTAAAATCTGCTAAATGTACATGCCTTGGTTCTAGTTTGTTACGTTAATATGAGTCAACCATTACAAAGTACTTGACAAAGAGGGTTTTCTCAAATTTGGTCTTAGATTGTAAACGAAATTGTATGCTTTTATCAAGCAAACATGTGAATTTCTTTCACTTATGTCAAATTTCAATCCAAGTGAAGGATTGGGTTTTTGGTCTGAACAGGCCTCTGAATCTGTTAACTATGATTTTAAACAGTTTTAGGAGAGAGGATACAAATTTTCCACAACCATCCACAAAACCTGCTTAAAGCCACTGTTACGTACAACTCCCGACATACCTTATTTATTGGAATTTAACTTTCTTGTAACTTTATTATCTAAAATTAGGGCCCCTAGGTCCAAATATTTGTTAAAAATATTAAAAAAAAACTCTACCATTATGAAAGCGACTAAAACTCATCTCCAAAATTCTCATTTTATAAAAAATATTTTAACGTTAAAAAGATATGACATTATAAAGTTAACAACATCCTCAAATAGAGGGGGTTTCAAACTTTCCATGTTCGCCTTTTTAAACGATATGAAATTTTTTTCAGATAAACTAATATTTCCGATAAATTTCAATTTATTTACAACAAAAATTTTTTTTTTTTTTTTCCATTTCAAAAATTTTCTTTTTTTTTAGCATTTTCACTTCCAACAAGGCTGCAAGCAACCACTATTACAATTGGAAGTTATTGGAAGAATAAAGACGAAGTTTATAGAGCGAGATAACAATTGACAGACGACTTAAAAGATTACAAATTATACGAATCAGGAAAACAAGATGAAGGATGCAAATTTAAAAAAACTGATGTTTGAGGAAAAAAACTAGACGAATAAGAATTCTCGGATGGCAACAATGCCATCTTAGATGTGAGAACTTCTGAAAGATCGCTAATGTAAATTAAAAAGAATATAGGGCCAAGGATAGAGCCTTGAGGAACCCCATAGGTTAAAGGATATGAATAAGAGTAAATTTCATTATGGATAACTTTTATACTATGATTAGTAAGAAAGGATTCATAACCTTAAAAATGTTACCTGATACATTGTAAGGAGAAAGCTTATGGAGAAGACCAGCATGCCAAACTTTAATAAAAGCTTTAGAAATGTCGAGAACGATAGTCTTAGTCTCTCCACAATTATCTAATGAACAAATAAACCTGTCAGTTATTACCGTTAACAACCTAGCAGTAGAACGAGAAGATTGAAATCCATATTGATTATCAGTAAGTTGTTAGATTCAAGATGAGAGATTAAGTGTTTGTTAATTAAAGAATCAAAACCCTTGCTTATCATATAAAGAAGACTAATGAGACGATAGTTAGGCGAGTCAGATCGCTCTCCAGAATTTATAGGGTTAAATATAGGGATAACAGATGCCACTTTTCTGCAGAATGGAAAACAAGACTCTGATAAGCACTTGTTAAATAGTTTTGAAAGAATAGACGACAGCTCCGGAGAACACTTCTGCAAGACTATAACTTGTATGGCTATAGTTGATATGATATAGTTATATGACTATAGTTGTATGGATCACAAGCTGTAGAAGAGTCTAAGCAGAAAAATTAGTTTAGATTCAGAAGCTAGAATGATACATCAGGCAATGGACTAACTTGTTTATCGGCTATATAAGGTACAACGCGACTTATGGAATCAAGATATGATATTAATGAGAAATTCTAAGCAAACAGTTCAACCTTGTCTTTAGGCGAGATTACAAAATCTGAACCATACAGGAGAGGCATAATAAAAAATTTGCCCTTATTATAAATATAATTATATATATTATAGTATATATATATATATATATATATATATATATATATATATATATATATATATATATATATATATATATATATATATATATATATATATATTATAGTATAATATTGAATGATGAAATTGTTTATACAAAAGATTGGCTCTTTAACTTTAAAGTTAAATATGTATTTTCCTTGTTAACTGTTGTCTGTCGTTAACAAAGCAATTAAAAATATACACATAATGACAACAGATTTATCTTTAGAACTGTTTACAAAATTTTTGGTTTGGATACAAAAAACCAAGTGAAAATGATACTGGAAAGGTACACTTTCTTATATCTAAACATCATTGCAGCTTTCTAGCCTTCACTTTTGTTTGTGTGTATTTCATCTGTGTTGCTAATGATATTGCCAGTTTTTATGATTTTATGTTGTTAAGTAAAGCATCTTTATGTTTCAGGCTAAAATAGAGCTTTGACTTATACTTTTTTCCAGTTTAAATAAATAACAACTCTCAAGGTGTATTAGCTATATTATCTTTTTGTTTTGGTAGTCTTTATTCAATAACGGATTTAAAATGTTTTGAGTCTACAACGCTTAATTTCAGCGAAATTCAATTAAAAAGTCATGTTATATGAGACAGAAAAATTTCAATATCTGTTTTTAATAACTTGGCTTTCATAGCAAATCTGAGAGGTGCAAATGTTTAGCTTGATTTAAGTACTACATAATAAAATACATCGTTGTACAGTCATTTTGATGGTTGTAAATTTATTTAGCACACTCATTTTTATATATTTTTAGACTGTTTACCGTTTGACTCCTGTCCCAATCTAACCTAGTGGGTTCAAAAAGAAGGGACCGCGCTGGAAACATGAGTGGTTTAAAAGGATCAGCCCATTTCGAATTAATAGTCGGTAAGAATAATGTGCTCCACTCAGCTAATCAAGTTTCGTTTGCTTTTTTTGTAATATATTTTAGCAATAAACTGTTTTTTATGTTCACTCGTTTTTTAGAAGTGGTAACCAGCTAGAAGTCGTAACCTGCTCGCATGAAAGGATTTCTCGACGTGAAATTGTTAATTTTATTCAACAACGCCAAGAAACAGAGCTCGCTCAAGAAACAGAAAAGAAAGAAAAAGATGAAAAAATATTCTGTTAAACAATACTATTATTTTATTTATAAATTATTCTCCTTTATTTAAACATATATAAGATGTAGAAAATACTTCCTCTTTTATATTGACATCTAAAAGAGGTTTTTTTTTCAGCATCGGAGAGAGCTTATTTCATACTTTGTATGAAGAGCTATTATCATTTTCATCTGAAAAAAACACAAAAAAACTTTTTATATATGGAAAGTAGGAATACTATAGTATACCAATAAGTATGGCAAAAAAAAAGTCGTTCCGAGCCCGATAAAAAACACTTTCTTAGAAGTGCATAATTGATAAACAAAGACTTTTTTAAGACGCATTTTTTGTGTCTTTTTATTATAAGATAAAGACAAAAAAGAAGCATTTTCGATTTCGAAAAAAGATGTTGTTTAGATTTGAATGTTCGATTAAAAAAAGGCGTCTTAAAGACGCATTTTTTATGTATTTTCATGACAAGATTAGATAATCAAGACGTCTTTTCGATGTCGAAAAAAGATGTCTTTTAGATTTGCATAATCGATTAAAAAAAGACGTCTTAAAGACATCGTAAATAAGACCTTTAAAGACGTCTTTTCGATGTCTTTTTTCCCACTGGGTTGTTTCCAGGCTCGGGTCGCTTTAATTTTTTGTAAAACATTGTTATTTAATACCAGTGTTAACATTTAAAAAAATTAAAGCTTTCATCATCTCTGGAAGTTATCAGAAAAAGTTACTACATCTTGAACACCAAAAATTCATGACCTCCCCGTTTAACCCCTTTTTTGAATGACGTCGACAGAATATTTTTAAAAAATTCGATTTTAATTCTACAAAGTGTTGTGGTTTTGAAAATCCTAACCGTTTCAAATTGAAATTTGTTTTCAAATAAATTATTACCACTACTGTGTGCCAAGCAACATAGAAATAATTACCTTGAGCGTTAATTTCTTATCATTTTCTTGTTATGCTCTACAATATGTGAAGAATTCAATATATACGGCTGTGTTTAAACTAGGGTTGTTCGTTGTAATTAAAAACTTATGAAAATTTCGCATTTTTATCTTCCGTATTTTAAGTTGCTATTACCGAAGTTGTACATGCGCAAATTCACCTTCAATTGAGCATTTCGGAATATTTGCTTACGGAATAGACTCAAAAGCATTCATTAAATTGTTATATAAAAAAATGCTACTATCTATTAATAAAATAAAATGTTGTTAAGTGATTCTTCAATAGTTTATACATATATATATGGTATACATACATAAATACATATACACACACACACACACACACACACACACACACACACACACACACACACACACACATACACACACACACACACACACACATATATATATATATATATACATGTATATATATATATATATATATATATATATATATATATATATATATATATATATATATATATATGTATATATACATATATATACATATGTATACATATATATACATATATATATATATATATATATATATATATATATATATATATATATATATATATATATATATATATATATATATATATATATATATATATATATATATATTAATATATATATATATATATATATATATTATTAACTAATTTAAAACATCAGATAATACGAGTTCTCTCAATACTGAATAATTTATTTGAAATTTTCGCCGGATTATAGATATTAGAGATACAAAAACATCAATGTTCTCCAACGTACGGTGGTATGAATTTGGACAATGGACAATATTTAAAAACAAATTTTTGGACTTCATTTTTTTCATACTTAGGTAAAAGAAGCCATTATAAAGGTGACGTCAAAATTTAAAAATTTTTTGTTGTTATTTAACGGTCACAATTTTTGTAATTATATTATATTATATGCTGATGATGCCGGTGCCTATAATCCGACGAAAATTTCAAATAAATTATTTAGTATTGAGAAAATTCGTATTATCTGATGTTTTAAATTAGTTTATATATATATATATTTACTCTCGTACAAGATGTCAACATTTAAATCATATATATATATATATATATATATATATATATATATATATATATATATATATATATATATATATATATATATATATATATATATATATATATATATATATATATATATATATATATATATATGAATATATATATATATATGTATATGTATATGTATATATATATATATATATATATATATATATATACATATACATATATATATATATATATATATATATATATATATATATATATATATATATATATATATATATATATGAATATATATATATATATATGTATATGTATATCTATATATATATATATATATATATATATATATATATATATATATATATATATAGATATACATATACATATATATATATATATATATGTATATGTATATCTATATATATATATATATATATATATATATATATATATATATATATATATATATATATATATATATATATATATATATATTAGATATATTTGTATAAACACTTGAAGAATCATTAAACAATTTTTTTTTATAATTTTATTATTTATTATTTATTATTTAAACTGTTAACAGTTAATATTTTAAATATATCGTAACTTAAAATCTTTTGCGTCTTTTTCGTAACTGCACATTCCGGAATGGTCCTTCCGTAAGGAACTATTTCGTAAGTATTCTTACGAAATGATTTGTTTCGCAAGTGTTCTTTCGCAATGCTTTATTACGGAATTTTGTTTATTTATATTTTCGTATAATGCGTTCCAGAATGTGAATTTTCGCATGAGCAACTTCCGCAATAACAATTCTATTACGTTAGATAAAGATGCGAAATTTTCGCAAGATTTGTTTTTCGCCAAACAATCCTAGTTTTGATTTTATTTTATCATACAGATGAAATAACTTCTTTTTATTTGAGTAAATGTTTGTTGCGTTTTTTACTTTAAATTTTCAAAAATTTAAAGTAAAAAAGTTTACAAAAGTGCAAATCACAATATTTAAACAACTAGATTCCAATGATATATTTAAAATCAGGCCCGTAACAAGCTTTTTGTTTTTACTTGAAAATGTAACTTGATGTAACGACACGGAGCAAACTCCAAGCATTTATATAATCATGTTTATGTAAAGCCTTTCAAAAGTATTGTGATAATTAGAGTCTGTTAACAATAAACCCCTAAAATTTTAACTTCCCTTGCATCCCGTTACGGGTTAGCAAAACCGGATATCGAGCCGGTTTTTTTAAATCGGATTCGGATTTATTCGAACCGGATCCGATATCCGGTTTTTCTTACCCCTAGTTAAAACTTCCGAGTTGGAAATTTTAACTAAGGGTGATTTTAATTAGTCTATTCCGGATTACCTATTATGCTCATTCATATTTGGAAGTTCTAACTGCTTTGAAAAAAGGATATCGGATACGGTTCAGTTAAATCCGAATCCGATTTCAAAAAACCGGATCGGATATCCGGTTTTGCTCACCCCTACACGCCATTAGTGTAAGAGCGATGAGATTATAACATTTATATACACTAGACTGCTTCATTTTGAGGTCATGAAAAAATTTCAAGTACCATGGAGTGTTATCTGCTGCGTTGACCCTTATTTTATTAGTAGAATATTTTTTAAATTTTGACCACTTTTAGGGGTTGCTCAAGTGCCTCAAAAGTCATATTTTAGGCTTTTTTACCCTTTTTTAAGCCCATTTTTCGCACGTTTAAGCAAGTACTAAAACTCAAAAAAATTGAATTTTTTTTTTTCTAGAGTTTTTTCTAAGTTAGAATAAAAAAATTAAAATGCATGGTAATTTTATTTTATTGAAATAATTTGTGTAAATTTATCTACAAAAACGCAAAGTTATGCAGATTTTTACCGAATATTACGCATTGCAATATCTTTATGGATATGTTAAGCCATTTGGAAAAAAAAACCTAACTATGTTGCATAAAACATCTATATATAGCATTAAAGGTCTATAAAAACTTTATTGCATGAAAATTCATTAAATTACATGAAACGAAAAAAAATCTAATTATATTGAATAAAACGTCTAGCAATTTTGTTTAACAAATTTCTTTATAATTAAATTTCTATAAAATTTATAATTATTTTTAAAAAATGTTATGTTATATTTTTATATTGTTTTTTTTTTGTTTTTCTTGGATTTCTTAGTTTTTCCTCCATACTTCCTTTTGTAATTATGCAAAAATAAAAGTGAATCCTGTCTTTTCTCTTCTTTTCGGGCAATATCAATTTTGTCTTTTATGATTTTAAGTTTAACGATTCTTTCTGAACAATCATTAACAACTGAAAGATTAAAAACTGCCTCCTGAAATTTTAAGTAGAAATCGTTGCAAGTCCAATAATCTGGAGGGGTTTTCATCCATTCACAGTCACTTTTACTTTGGCCTATCATAAGGAACAATAGCCACGAATTTTCTATGACCAAATGAACTGAGCTGGGAGGCTTCGGTCCACTGAAGTCTAAAGAATTGAGGACCTCTATGTTAGCACTTATTCGGGCTAACGGATATTCATCCATACTATGAAATTCATAGCTGTATAGTTTTTGAGCAATATCACCTCTTTCTTTACATTTTTCATCAGCTAGAGCTAGTACAATAAGGTAAGGGTCCAGAAACCATGTGTGGCGTTTGATAGATTTAATGACTGATTCTGCCCCAATCAAATTGTACTCCTTAAACCTATTCATTTGCCAAAGCGCTCTCATATCCTGGATAAAACAAAAAACTGTTAATCTTTCTTTAAAAAAAAATTATTTCTTAGATACTTTTAATAATTATCAAAACTTTTTATTCAAACTAGAACCCTTTTATATATATATATATTATATATATATATATATCATACTTTTTAAGTTGGTACCTACCTGATTCGGAGCAGCAGCGGATAGTTCAGCTTTGAGAAACTAGGTAGTATAGAAAACAGAGACAAAAGTTGCCACTTCAGTAATTTCATGCTTCAGCCATTTTTCAAGACTAGGTATAGCATCCATCATAAGTTGGAGTTTTAGGTAGTAGATACCTATAAAAAAAAGTCTTTTTTTTTTAATTTTTTAAAAAGACTAATATTTGATAATGTAAAACAAATTCCTTTTTTTTGCAACTTGAACCTTTTTTTATCATGAACCTATAATTCCTTACCTTTTGCCATAAAGCGGGCATGGTGGACTAAAATTTGTACCTGTCCTCAGAAAGCACCATAAGTGTAAGCTCTGCCAGCTTAATGTAGTCCTTCCTTGTAGCCCCATCCTAAAAATGAAATAAAATAATAAGTATTTAGGTATAATAAATAAACCTATTTATATTTTAGTATAATAAAGGATAATAGAATTAAAAAAGAAAAATTTATAAAAAAATTTCAACATAAAAGTACATACTACATAGATACCTACAAATTCAGATATCTAGTTATTGGCTACCTTTTTTAGAGACCCACTGGTGATAATATTTCTGCAAAACGTTATGCTTTCATGCTTTTGATGACCAAGCCATGTTTCCTCTTGAATAGTCAATCTTCTCAAAACCTTATTTATTCAAAACGTAAAAAAAAAAATTCAAAGAACTCAAAATTGGAAAAAGAAAATTATTTGGAAAAAATAATATTTCACAAAATGGTAGCTAATTTTGTAAAAACCTGCTTGGTTGTCTGCGTCAAGATCAGTCCATGCTGATTTTAAAGTTTTAAACAGCAGAATATCTGGTCCAGAAGTAATGCTATTTTGATAATTTTTTCAGAAATGTGTTATGTGTAGCTCATTGACATGATGTTGGCATGCAATAGATAGAACTGGTCGTTGAAAGACTTCATTTACCAATAAAGATACAGCTCAATTTTTTTTACAGCGTTGATTCTGCTAGTATCAAATGTTACAGCTTGTATATTGTCTGTAAGGTTAAAGCTATTTAAGATATCTCTGATTGCATTTTTTTGATTTTCGCCAGTTCCAGAAGAAATGGGTGGAATTCCCAACAGGTGCGTTTCCTTGTTAGCATTTATTAATATTGCTAATCGATCTTGTTCCAATTTTTTTTCATCAGTATATTTATGACATACTTTTCCATCAAAATGGAGTTGAACTAAAATATTCTTATTGATTTTTCTTAAACTTATTAAATCATCCTTGATCCTCTTTGATTCATCATGAATAAATCTGCAGCGCGTAATGCTGTAGAGGTTGAAGAAAAATTCAGGTTGAAGAAAAATTCAGCTACATTTCTACCTGATTTAGCGATTATACTATTAATCATGGAAGCATGCTGCCTATGACTTATTCCTTCCCCAACAGCAGTATCAGCAGTTCTCTTGAGAATATCTTTTGGAAGCATAACAGTATTAGCTTTTTTGACTTTTTTCTTTAACTCTGGATATGGGTATGGAAAATCATCAATATCTTCATCTTTCTCCGATCCATTTGAGCTGAATTCACTCTCTGACATGGTTTCATGCAAATTTGATTTCCTTTTAATTTTGGATAAACTCCTGTTTATAGAGTAAAGGTACCTTGTATCAATTCCACCTATTCTAGTTTTTCTATCTCCTAATTGGTCTAATAAAAATGCAATATCTTCAGTCTTGTCTTGATCCTTTCGTTTCCTATCTTTTGCTTTAATGATTGCAACCAGAGTATCGAGCTCAGGTGCAATCCAAAAGATACTTTTCATCTGAGTTAAAAACCTCCTCCTTTTTTCAATCTCTGATAAAGTTTGTGTTGCTTTGTTTTTTTTTTAACAGTTTCCAGGTTCGGATCAGCTTCTCTATCTTTATACTAAAAAATGTGATTTATAGGTTCGGTATATTTTACAACACACCTATTTCTGTTTATTAACTTATTTAACAGCAGACATTAGTTATATTAATATTTTCCGCTAATAAGTAATAATATATAAGTAAAAAAAACATATACAGTCTGGTACCTACCTAATTGTTTGATTTGTAAAATCTGAAATCCACCCTTCAACCAAGGTGTAATTAACTTTGAAAGAGTGCAGCAAATATGTTTTTTATTATGGCAGCTGATTTCAAAGTTTTTTGTCAATGGACAGTGGATAATTCTACTTTCTTTTTGTTTTGGGTACTTCTCCTTCAAATGCAAGAAGTATTGCAAAACCTCTTGCTTTGTAGCAAACTTGTCTTTTGGTAAGGATGACCTGGATTCCCTTACCAAAAAATGTGAGTCAACTTTTTTCTTACTTTTCCCTGACATGAATAAATCGGTAGTAAATAGCTTTAATTAGTATATGGAGTAAGTATATCATAAGAGTAACCTATATTTATTTCCCGCGTTTTTAAATCAAAATTAAATATCGTTTTTGTTAAAAAGTAATTTGCATAACATGTTTAAGCAAATACGCAACATTTTTAAATTAACGCAAAGCGCAACAATTGCATAACTTTGCGTTTTTGTAGATAAATTTACACAAATTATTTCAATAAAATAAATTTACCATGCATTTTAATTTTTTTATTCTAACTCTAGAATAACTCTAGAAAAACTCTAGAACTCTAGAAAAACTCTAGAAAAAAAAAATTCAATTTTTTTGAGTTTTAGTACTTGCTCAAACGTGCGAAAAATGGGCATAAAAAAAGGGTAAAAAAGCCTAAAATATGACTTTTGAGGCACTTGAGCAACCCCTAAAAGTGGTCAAAATTATAAAAAAAAAAAAATTCTACTAATAAAATAAGGGTCAACGCAGCAGATAACACTCCATGGTACTTAAAATTTTTTCATGACCTTAAAATGAAGCAGTCTAATATACACATTCTTTTGACATTTTAAACTGAATATAAATTCATTAACAAATCTCTAATGTCATGCAATAATCTTTTAGTGTTCAAAAACTATGACCATATAAATTTTGAGCAACCTCCCCAATTATTTTGGGGAGTTAAAATTTTATCTTTAATTAAGTTATAAGTTCGTCTGGCAATCAAATTCTGCTCCTCATTCAAATGTTCGTAGCAAAAGTTAATTTAACTCTTTCGAATTGATTTTTTTATTATTATTACGCGTTGTTAGTTTTTTATATCATAAAAAATGATAGAAGTTTTGCAAAAATTTATATTTATCTTTCGTTAGTTTTTCACGATATAAATATTGGTATGAAAAAAATTTTTTGAGATAACTTCTTGACCAATTGACAAGTAATGAACACTTGGAAAGACTTATCAAAAAAACTTAAAGAACACGAAGCATGCAGTGCACATTTTAAGTACTTTAAAACACTGGATAACTTAACGAAAAGGTTAACTCATATTTTTTTTAATTTATTGCTTTTTTTCCTAATTAATTTTTTCCCCTCAATTTCGGTAATACCGAGATTGCAAATCAACCTACCATAAACGAGCAACAATAAAAGTTGCTCGTCTATGTGCAGTGCAGTGTTAGAAAGAATACTGGACATTACCTTATTTCTTTCTGCAAGAAATCTTGAATTCTGTGGTTCAGACACAGCTATTGGTTCAAAAAGCAATGGAAACTTTCTTGGGGTGTTTGAATTACTAGCTAAGTACGATACCGTTCTCAATGAGCTTATGCAAAGAATTCAGGACAAAGAAACCAAGAAGCACTATTTTAACAATGACACACAGAACAAGGTTTGAGGAGGAAAATGAATTCAAAAACCTGTCTAAAGTAAAAAAATCAAAATGTTATTCTATTAATTTAGATTGTATGCCATTCATTTTGCATAAAAAACAAATGAGAATTGGTCATCTATTAGTGCAGTTTTGCTTTTGGTGTTTAAAGTTATGTACACTCTTTTCATTTTCTCCTCCTCGATGGGAAATTTTAAAATTGTGTGTGGCTACTTCTGTCAAACCACAATCAGATATTAGATGGGAAAGTAGAATAAACTGAGTTAAACCACTTAACTGTTATTTAAAAGAAATCATAGAGACACTCGAAAGAAAATGACTTAGAAAAGAGATAGGGCTAGAGCCACAGAAGTACGATCGCTCACGGAATATATTAGAACATGGTCTTTTATATTATCAATCATTATTTGGTATGATGTTTTATTTCAAATCAATAAATTAAGTAAGCTTTTTCAATCTTATGCAACTTCTCTCGACATATTAACTAGTGAAATAAAGGCAACAAATGCATTTCTTTATGAGTATCGAAAAAATGGATTTTCCGACGTACGTATTAAAGCATCAGAAATCGTAAAAGTATTGGGCGTTTAAAAGGTTTTGAACAGATCCGCATTGTCACAAAGCTTAATGAATTTCTTTACCAATCTGAAAGACTTATCAAAGCCTGTAATGAAAATTCTTTGTCTATATATTGCAAAAGTTTGCAAATGAAACTTGGTGATATAGATTTTGAGAATTTAGAAATGGAGTTAAAACCTCATAGTAATAAAATAGTCATAAATTTGTCATAGTTAACAAGGAGGAAATAAATGCCTTAAAAAAGAGCTGCAAGAAACTTATCCCAATCTATTTGTTGCATTACGAATCATTCTTACTTTATCAGTTACTGTTGCAAAAACGTAGTTTTAGCAAGTTAAAACTAATTAAAACTTTTGATAGGTTAGTATAAATAATCTTGCTTTATTAAACATAAATACATATTGCTATATTTCTTTGTTTCTTTAAATAGGTCAACAATGGTCGATGAATGTTTGTCTTTTTTAGCAACGCTGTCGATTGAAATTGAGGTTGCAAGGAAATTAAGTTATGAAGGCATAATAAATGAGTTTACAAGCATGAAAACACGTCGCAAACCCTTTTTTTAATGGTTTGCGACGTACTTATATTATCTGCGTAATACATTAACAGTATTTAAAAAAAACTCTTAACTAGTACTCTATATCAATTTAACAATTATAAAATAGATTTAATTGAGTTTAAGCGTTAATTTGATTTTTTTTAGTCTTATGAACGGCGACGTTAAAATATGCTAGGTACCCTAATTTTATCCACTTTTTTAGAATAAATAAATAAAAAATTGGGGCCCAA